AAGTCTGGGGACCTGATAGAGTATATGGGCCTGGACCCCATGGCCCACACACTCAAGTCAAACGATGACCAAGGAGAACATCCACGTGTCCCCTTTTCGGCCCAGTAGGGGCCCGCATCGGCCAGGAACCAAACCGGCCCAAAATGCACATCTGGACTTCAGGGGCCGCGTCGGCCCATGGACCGCATCGGCCATGGTACCGCATCGGCCAAAAGACACCGCATCGGCCAGACTTCGTCCTGGCAGAATACATCTCTCTACTTTATTTACTAAGTATTGTACTCAGCCCATTAGTGGCCCTATTTCGCCCAAAGAAGGCATGATTATTGTAATGGGCCTCCTAAGCCCATGGCTAGGAGCCCAAATCCACATTTTCACCTATAAATAGACCCCTTGGGGCTAGTTATAGGGGGTTGAGAAATATAATTACTCACTTTCTCTCTCTAGCTCTCACTTCTCTCTAGAATTAATACTCTATCAGGACCATTTTCTGTGATTATTGCAGAACTTGATATACTTCTGATGTTTGTATTAGCTCGATTAAATAATCCCTTTCAAAACTACGACCCATTTTTGGTTGCCATTATTTGGTATGCTTACCTTGGTGTATTCATGCTTATAATGCACATTTTGATTTTACGATATAAATTTTTTAAATAGACCCCATGGCTATGACAGCTATCTCAACTCATCTCCTCTGATGACTTCTCTATACAAGTAAAACCTATGAGGCTATGATGATGATAGTTTTGGAAATTCATGGCTTAATTCCTTCTTTAGAAGGTTCCAACAATTAGTTTTAACATAATTCATGCAAATGTGGTACAACTTCGTCATTTCAAAATTTGCTTAGATTTATGGCTTCAATTAAATATATACCATTAGTTTAAACTGTAACTTCATCCCGCCGAATTAAATGTGGTTGTGATAAGGTGCTGCTGCTGCTGATGATAATGAATGTAGTATAAGTGCTGTGTTTGTGGAATCGACGCATGAATAACTTGTACATGAAAAATAGAGAATATGCTATGGTATAATTGCATGCAAATCTGAAGGGACCTATAAAGTTTTTTTGGTCCCTTCTCTTATACGGATAAAGCTAAAATTTAGAATTTGATGTATCTCCTTTCCGAGCTGTTATCATTGTTGTTCATTACTAGATTAAACAAAACTTTAAGTCTTCTAAACCTGTAGAACAAGCATTTCCGCATGTACAAAGACGACTCAATCACTGCCAGTAAACTTGCTGCAAGCAAAGACACTGAGGCTCTACATCACCTATGTGCCAATCAGGTAAGGTAATTCCATTTCCTTCTGTCATTTTTTAGAACAATGCGATGAATAGAAGTTGTGATTTTTCAAGGTCGAGAAGTTTATGGATCTCTGGAATGGCGACGAAGAATTTCGTAAAGAATATGTGCGATCCAACATGCGGAGCACAATTAGGAGATTTGGAACTTTGGATGGTCGCTCTCTTGGTCCTGATGAGTCTCCACTTGTGCTTCTTCCGGTTTATGATGTAGCTGAAAGAACTCGTAAGCTAGGTTCTAAAACGTTAGAAGTTGATTTGGTCTCCCCAAACGAGGCCAGAAATCCCACCGTGAAAGTTGCAGGGAATGAGACTGAAGATCAGGAAACAGTGAAGTGTAATTTGGAGAATGTGGACACTGGATCAGGTTGGGATGGGAGGAAAGATGACAAAGCTGAAGACGTACAAACAAAGGAGGAATTAGAGCTTGCTTGGAAAGAAGAGGGACTTAGAAAGCTTGAGATTGCTGTTAGACTGAAAGAGCAACGGCGGTTAGAGGAGATCATCAAGGCCAAGGAAGCACTGGAAAGGAAAAAGCGAAATGCGGAGAAGGCTCAATTGAGGGCTGAATTACGAGCTCAGAAGGAAGCAGAACAAAAAGAGAAGGTGAAGCTTTTTTACTGTCATATTTTTTGCCAATTTTATATCATTGTTCTCCTGATGTTTTTTCAGAGGCATGTATGTACTTAATAGTTTTCTTTATAGTTCTTTGTCGACTCTCCAGCAACCTACTTTCTTCAACAAAGTGCACATGATGAATATGGTTTCTCTCTCTCTTTTTATCGCAATTTCATTTTAAAAATACTTAAAACCCTTACGTCTAGAGAACCATTCAAATAATCAGATCTATATTAAAAACGTTTACGTTAGCTTCACCTGATCTTTACTTCACTAATAGTCTCCAAAAAGATGTAAAAAGTTGAAGTAGAAATTTCAGATTGGACTTATGCAAGCTAATTGATTTTTTTCCTGAATGGGGATTGCCCACGAGTTAGAGTTGAGTAAAAAACATGTATTTCAGGGATGAAAAGCAAAACAAAGTATTACAAGGGCCTAATACTGAAAGTGCTAGGGAAAACAATATATTTAATTACTCCGTATTATTTATGAACAGGAAAGGGAGAAGAGATTGAGAAAGAAGGAAAGAAAGAATGAAGGTGGTCCAATTGGCGATGTGATGAGAAGTGGTATTAACATGAACGAGAACGAAAGTAGGGAAGCAGCTATGGACGAGTGTGGTCAAGCTACTGTTGCTGCTGGTAAAAAAACTCATCAATGCACAAAGCAAAGCAAGACGAAATCCACCCCTCTCCCACCACTTAGAAACAAAAGCAAGAGGAGATTGCAGCAATGGTTGCGGATTATTCTCACATCCATCGTTGTGATCGTTTTGTTCCTGCTGGGAAACATTGGTTTCTTTGCCAGTCTTAAGCAACGCCAAAATGTGCCATAGTCTCTTTTTTTGAAGATCCGGGCTGGTGGGATCTGACTGCGTTCCAAGCTAGTTACTTTAAGATTTATACAGAGGTTTTTATTTGATTCTTGAATAATCCTAGTTGTTTGGGAACGCAGCTCTGTTTCATTCTTTTAGAGGACTCGACCTTATTCTTTTAACGACTTTTTAGAGGACTTGACCTTATTCTTTTAACGACTTAAACACAAAATAACAATTTATGACATCAAGGTTAAGTTATACAGAATTATGGACTATGACTAATTACTTATTTACTTTTGCACAAATATCCATCTGTCCCATCTTTTTTGTCTACTACATTCGTCTCTTGTTTTAAAGGCCAAATGCCAAACTTTTGGGATATAAGTGAGAATATGTGAATTTTGTAGAAGTTAATTTATAGAAGTGGTTTTTAGCATTTATTTTATTTCTTTTGTTTGAAAAAATCTATCTATCTCAGTTTCCGTTTAACATCTTAACATTTAACTCATCCAAAAAAAAAAAATCTTAACATTTAACTCTCGAGTTGAACCAGTCCATTTCACTATGCGAGTATGCCGAACATTTTCTTTATATGAAATTATTTATAAAATTAACATGATATCAAATGTTCTTTCTTAAACATACTTTTACGGGTATAAAATTTGTTACTTTCACAAAGCCATATCAATCAAAGTATTGGTTAAAGTTTTACTATCTTTCACTAAGAAAGCTAAAGATGATTAAATTTTAAAGAATGTTAAAGAGTATTTTTATAATCGTCTTCAAAAACACTGAATTTTTTCATAAATTGTTGTGTCTAAGTGTCAAACTACATATTTGATTTTTAATGGGACCAAGTTGGTATTATGATTTTGATTAGAAAGTGGATTATTGTTTGGTTGACTAAGGTGCGAGTCAATTAAACTCTTTCTAAGAACCTGGCAGATTGTCAATGGCATAAAAGCAATTCCCCAATGAATTGAAGTTGGTAAAGTGAACACTTTGTATCTCTCCTGGTTTGATCGTTGATTGTGGAAAAAGAAAAATGTCTTCTTTATAAGAATCTATTGATCCATTAGGGTAAATAGTTAAAGGGAGAGCATCTTCATAGCCTCGAAGAGGCAAGTAATAGATTAGTTTTAAGAAATTGATATATGCAGAATTAAGAAGAGTAATTTAACTATAACTATAATAATAGTACTGCTATATTCGTCATTTGTGTCTAATAATTTCAAAACATGATAATATTATTTTAAAATGATACGAGTAGCATTTTACTTCTTTGTAAAAAAGCACAGTACTTTTCACATTAATTTTCTATTTCCATAAATCCATGTAAGTTTATTTGACAATTATATTTAAAATAGACTTCTACGGAGTCTAAAGGCTGATAAATGACTTATCAATCAATTTTTAACCGGTTTGATCTATTTAGATGTTGTTAGCTAACAACCACCGCCTAACAACGTATTGTCAAACATGATCAAAATATATTTTACTTGAATAGTTAAATTCAAGTGTTTCCATATTTGTACAAGTTATCTCACACCAGTCACATATGTTGGGTTTCTTCTTTGTTTCCCAAACATCTTATAAATATGAACTACTCCTTAACATATGAGCCTTGTATTTGCTTTCTTTGACATTTTTGAGTGAACACTAGGTCTTAATATGATATTAGAATCAGTTAAACTTCAATCAGTAATTAGATTACAATAGGAATCATAACGAGCATCATAAGAAAAATTAGACTTCATGATAAGTCTGTTTTAACGAGAAACTACCTTACGAGGCATATTAAGTAATTTGCATGACTTTCTAAGTTTATGTTGCAAATTTGATTTCAAAATGTAAAATCTAGCAAAACACAAATACGGATTACATATACTTTTTTAGTAAATCAATATTACTCCTAAAATTATTCAATGCCCGGAGGATCATATGGTAAAGTGGCATTATGTTGGCGAGAGCAACAAAAGAAGCTGATTGAAGGAGGGCGAGGCCGGGTGCGGTGGGGAAAATGGGACAAAATGCATGGGGTCATCACGTGTCACGTGATATGTTTTGTCATTTCTCCCAATTAAGTTTTTTTTTTGAATAAATTCTCCCAATTAAGTTTGAATTCAAATTTTCAAATTTCCCTGAGGAAATAATACATTGATGATGATAGATCTCCGGCACTTTTTACTCTTGCACCACAAGAAATAATGGAAACTTATCACATATTTTTCTAAGAAAATAGTAATAATAAAATTGGTAATTAGAAAATTGACTTAGTTCGAATTGATAAAGTGATACATAAAATGAAAATGATTTGGAATAAGATAATTTTTTTTATCAAATTTAGTTTGAGACAGTCATAAGTGAGATTGTGAGACGTATCAAAGAGGAAATATGAGACAATCTTAGTGACACAGAAAGGTATCGCGTATATTATTGTCAATAGAAACTTATACGGAATGTAAAATAACTCTTCAAAGAGTCTAATTTGAACTAATATTCATCCCGCTGGCTTATGATTTATTTAAGTGCGAATTATTGTTTAAAAAGCCTCATTTTCTTTACTACAAGCTCTATAATTACCATATTTTTGGGCATGCATTTTTGTATATATTCTTCTATAAATGAGTTTCAACAACTAAACTTCTATCTTCTTAAGCACAATGCTGATCAAAAGAGAGACTTAAGAGGAGATAACGAATAAGGGATACCACAGATAGAAACTTTTTACAATCTCTATAAAAAGGCATATATATTTTATCAATTAAAAAATCTCTTTTATGAGAATCTATTCGATTCTTATCGTTGAAGGGAAAGCATTTTCATAGCCTTGTAGAGTAAGGGAAGCAGAGAGGTTAGTTTTTCTTATCTTTACGAATTTATCAATTTATGCTATTGTATAATATTCCGTATAGTAATAAGAAGTAATATTTAGAATATACTTTCATTTAACTATGATTTTATTCGTGGAATTGCTTTGGAGATTTAATTTGTAAGACATCAAACAGAGGACAGCAGAGAAATATCCAAACTAACTCAATTCCAGATTTCCAGGGATACAGTTTGCTAATTTGTGGGTCTAGGGGAGAACTTAATTTTCTAAAATGTTGTAATAGTGATTGAGCAAAATGTTGAAAGTTTTGAAGAATAGAAAGCATATTCTGCATGCACATCTAAAAACATGGTGTTCAGCTTTTAAGTGAAGCAACATATATATTTATATAATAATTATATACATAGTATGTTGTAAGGTGGGGTGGGTGAGGCAATCCCAGGTTTTTACACAGTTTTCTTTGCAATTAGTTTTTCCAAACAATGATTTAATTACAATAATCACCTCATTGCTTCTAATGTGAACAAAGCATCTAAAATTTAATCAAATTAGTGGAGCCAAAATGCTATCATTGATCATATACTAGCAATGCTGTCTTCTTACTTGACCTTTGATTACAACTTTATTTTCCTATTTATGAAGATTTCATCTCAGTGAGAAGATCATGGGGGGAGAAGATGCAATTAGAACTGTAGAATGCCTTAGAGGGAGATTACAAGCAGAAAGAGTTGCTTCAAGAAATGCTAAAGAAGATGCTTATTTAATGGAAACCAAGGTTCAATTTTCTCTCTGTCTCATTCTAGGGTTTGTATCTGGTAGAATTCATAACTGATAAACCATTCAATCCAGTCATTTGAACAATTCACAACTTTGTTTGATAGTCTGTTGTGATTGACATTGCTTTCTTTTTATTGATATTTTGGGAAAAAGTTTAATATATTTCTGGATTAAAGTTTCCATGATTATAATTTGGATGTTTTCTCTTTCAAATCATGGAAATAAACAGTTAACTGAGCTGGAAGCTAGGTTGAAAGAAGAGAATAAGTCGAGAAACCGAGCCGAAAAAAGGTTTAAGTACCTAATGAAGAAGCTTGAGTCAATCAACATATCATTAACATCATCAGATGAATCAGAGAATTGGAGTTTGACGGTGGGCAGTGAAGATTCCTCTGCATCAAACACAGCCTGTTCTAGCTCAAAAGTATCAGAAGATACGACGCTCCAATTCGAGGCTGTATCATCTTCCACGGATGATTCTCAAGAAGCAATTGATAATGCTAAAGCAGAAAATGAGAGTTTAAGCTCACCGGGTGAAGAAGACACTGGGAAATCAGTTGAACATGGATTCATTGAAAGGAAGGATCTTCCAATGAGGGATGACAATAGGTAAACACAACTTGCACATCTCAATTTCTGCTTTTTTCAAAGAGCATATCTCTATTCATTTACATTTTGGTGCAGATTCTTAGTTGCAGATTCTTTAGTCGATGGAATTCAATCTTTTAGTACAGTTTTACCCACATATGTAATGATCCTGTTGAGTTCACCTGACCCAATTATAAATTCTACAAAAATTGTATCTCATCTACTGTTAAAACTTTTGCATCGTCCATGTGTATTTAGTAACTCCATTTCACATTTTATTGTGGTAAGTTGAACATCCATGGCTCCATGCTACGTAGTATTTACTTAATAGGCTAGCATAAAGTATGTTTTTTGCAGTTTACCAATCAATTCCATGTATATGTTCAAGAAGTAAAGAATATATGATTCATGCTATAGAAGCATGTAGTTTTGTCAAATTATCTCACATAGAATTTTACCAACACATCACCTATATATCATAAAAGAGACATAATTTCCATGTGTGTTTGAGTTTTAAGGTTCGGGTCATATTCCAACTCTTATATTACACTTGTTGTGATTTAATGATATTATTACTAGTTCTGATAAACTAAAAACATTGATTTTTCGATCTAATTTCCCCCCTTTTCCTTGTTAGCTTGGAAGTTGCATTTGAAAAGAGCGAGATGAACGGATCAGATAGAGAAGAGAACACTGACAACTCATTGGCATTAGTTCGTGTTTGTTTACCAAATCCAAAAAAAACATTTGATATAGCTGTTCTTGATCCAACTGTAAAAGATGTTCTTGATTCTCTGAGGCATGCCAAAGAAAAACTTCAAAACATGTTGGAGAGACAACTCATGATTTAGAGCCGGGTAGATACTAAGAACATAGCGTATATACAAAAGAAGAGAGCCAAAATCCATATCTCATGGTCTGTCTTTGCAGTGTATCATTAGAAGAGGTTAGAGGGAAATGTGGACATTGGTTTCTAATTGTTTCAATTACTAGCTTGGACATAGTAATAAAGTAAGTCTCTCTGACTGGTTCATCCATTGATCAATGTATATAGTTATGTTTCTTAATCGTGTCTTTATTTTCATTGTTTCTGTTGCTTATTTGGAATAGGGGTATGGTTATTTCCTTTCAACCTTTGGTGACTTCAGTGATTTTGGAATGATGATATACTACGTACTACTATTATGTAAATATATGTATGTAGATGAGTTTAATTTTGTTCACCTCCTATTTGGAGGGTGAACATAACCCTCTAATTTTTTAACAATAAAATTACACGGATTTCCTTCTTTTACCAAGTCAATGGGCATCTTTCGTTTTGAGTATTTATATAGATTAGACATGTGGGGTCTTTTTGTTAGGATTTTTATTACGACCAAGTGTTTTTTATTTTACTGATGAAGCAGAACAAAATTAAATATATTTAAAATATAATTTATTTTTTCATAATTTAGCATATTCATCTTATTGAACTGCTTCAAGCAGGTTTTATTTTAACAAATTCAGCTAATTTTGACGTTAAGAAAAGTTCCCGTGGTATTATTGTTAGCTGAATTTCAATATATAGTACGGAGTAAAAGTTTATACTTTATAGTATTCGACGTGGACTTTTAAAATGCTATAAAACTCGAGTAGTATTTCATGTAGACTTTTAAAAGCTTAAGCGCTTTCAAATTTTCGTTCATTTTTATTGACTTCTAAAATAATGAATTTTCATGAATATTAAGTCATTCTCACCACATTAATTTTTTGCAATTGTCTCTTTTTCTCATCGAAGAATTTCATGAATGTTTCTGTTGTCTTCTACTTGTCACAAGTACGCATAGATCTAGTTGCAGATTTGATAAATACTGATACACAAGATAAACTTAAAAAACTAAAAGGTGATATTTTTTATGTCTTCTTGTAACACCGTCCCCAAATGTATTTGCTTTTAAGTGAATATTGTATTTTTAACCTTATTGAAATGGTGAACGAATTTACGATGTCCCGAATTTTTATTAATTCCTTTGCACAAATAGTAAATTCGTACGTGGGGCCCGCACCGGGAGCGGGGGCCGCCTGATATTCCCAGGACCACATGAACTATTCATTTTGGTCTAGATAATGTTTATATGGTGGTGGATAATTCATTTGAGCCATGGAATGGTCCATAGTTGACCGATTGGTCAAAAGAGGCCCAAATACCGGTATTGGCAAATTAACCGATAAATGCCCGAAATTGAATTTCGGGGACTTATAAATTTAAGTTGGGGAATGAATATTCATTATAAGGGTCATGATGATGGAGAACACACAAAATATTTTATTTGAACCGATAAAATAAAATATATTTAAAACAGTCCGAAAAAATACAACTTTCGGGACTGATTGTACACTTTTGGGCAAAAAGGGGTTGACCTCCCACATGGGTGGGGGCCAACCCACGAATGTGGACACATTTTTTCAAGACTTGGGCGGCTGGATGGAGAGGGGAAGGATGGGAGATGTTGGAGTTGAGAGGAAAGGCATCAAAGGTACACATGGGCTCCCATTTCTTTTTGTTTTGTTCACTCATTTGATCAAGACAAAGAAAATCCTCACCCACTCTCTCCCTCATCCCTGCGGCCAGCACCTCCAAGAAAGAGCCAAGCAAATTCTCCATCTTCCTTCTCCATTGTTGAAGGAAGCTCCACAAGAAAGAATCCCAAGGGAAGGAACTAAAGTGCTAAAAGTGTGATAGGATTAAGGTAATGACCTTATCATAACTTTTTCTTAATTTTTTCTTCTACCATATGAGATGTATATCATATGGAGAACCCTTGAGGTTGTTCCACATGCCAATAGTGTGGAATAATGGGTTGGGGAGTAATTCTAAGTCCAAGAACGGACTTAAAAGCCAAACCGACCGGTTCACCGGAAAATAACCTTTTAAGGGTTATGGGTATTGATTAAGGTTTTATGATGTTAAAACCTTGTTAGGAACTTGGTATAGAGTATCTTTGAGCTTCGCCGGAGTTTCGCCGGAGTTGGTCAAAGTTGGCCGGAGTTGGTCAAAGTTCACCGGAATTAGTCCAAGTTCAACCGCGGAGCGTAGAACACGCTTAAGCTCACTTAAGGTGAGGATGACCGACTATATTGCTTATAATCTTTGGGTTAATTTCATAAGATTTCCTAAATGGATATATAGTGTGATTTGCATGGATTATTAATGGTTAATAAAGCCTAAATGAAATTACTATTGATTATAAGTGTAGTTTGCATGATATACAAATTTATTGAATAAATTGTGTATGTCTAAATGTTATGAATATGATGGCATGATAGTAGTATCAACCATAAATCCCATTTGTGATAAGTATACTTTTATTTCATGAGAAGAAGCCATGAAGGAATAAAAGTGATATTTTGATATTGAGGCCAAATTACATATTGAATGAAGAATTTCATTGAAATGAATAAATAGCTAGTATTGAAATATTAGTTGGAATTGTAGTTGAATAATGGATGAATGGATCCTAAGAAATTGAATTGTAAAGAATCGGTGATTATTGAGCTGGGCTCTAGACCGATGTAGATAACGGTGATTATTGAGCTGGGCTCTAGACCGTAGTAGTTATCGGTGATTATTGAGCTGGGCTCTAGACCGATGTAGATAACGGTGATTATTGAGCTGGGCTCTAGACCGTAGTAGTTATCGGTGATTATTGAGCTGGGCTCTAGACCGATGTAGATGACAGTGATTATTGAGCTGGGCTCTAGACCGTAGTAGGTAACGGTGATTATTGAGCTGGGCTCTAGACCGTGATAAGAAATTATGAATTGACACTAAACGAATAAAGTTAACCACGATATAATAACACCCTAGGTTGAGGGTCTTGGAAATTGAAACGTTGATTATATTTAGTATAGTTGTCATTGTACTTGTCAAATGCTTCCAAGTACTGACCTCCCCTTCACGGGGGAGGCCACCTCACAGTTTCAGGTAGAACTTGAAGGTTGCTACCACCGCCCGTTGCTTCGGGAAGATCAAAGGAGGGAGACGTGGTTCGTGCTTCTTCCGTTCCTGTTTTAAAAACATTTAAATTAATGCTCATGGATATTATACTTTTGAATAATTATTTGGGGGCTTGTATGCCCAAGTTTGCCAAGTGTGGCATGAATACTTGTATCAAATGTTTCCGCTGCTTGAATGAATGTTTTACATTATACTTGTTTATGGATGTACTATGTGTGAATGATATCCCAGACGCCTTGTATAGTATGGATGTGTTGGACTGTGGTTGACTATTCGTACTATACGGCGGATTGTTGACGTGTCCGGATAGGTCCGGGGCGTGACAATTTAATTGGTATCAGAGCCTTAGTCCGTAAACTTCATAATGAAGCTTCAAAATCTCTTTTCGAAAATGAAGTTGAAAACCATGAGCATAAAAGTTTTGTACTTATAGAACTTTTGGTACTTGAGTTGCAAAGTCTCTAATTGTTAAGATGGTACCCTTAACAATTGGTATGACGGTGATTTGAGCCAAAGGATGTCTTTAAGTACCTATCTGTCACTTGACATTGATACGAGTCTAATGACTCATTCTACTTCCTTTCAGAAATGGAGCCAGTCGGAAGGATCACTAGGAGGAACCCGACGGGCCGTGTACCGGGTGGGTCCGAGCGCGGTAGCCGGGGGTCCTTTAGGGGATCAAGAGGAAGGGGCCGCGGAGGCCGACAACAACAAACCGTAAGCGATGGCCACGTCGATACGGAAAGCGAGACCTATTGGTCTTATGAGGACTCGACCTACCGGCCGGAAACTGAGCCGGTTGAGACCCCTTATGAAGGGGATGACGACGATGTTAGTGGCGAGGAGGAAAATGGCTCCTTGGCTAGGATTGAAGCACTGCTCCAACAATATCATCGGGAGCGTGAGGAAAGGAGAGAACGCCGAAGGCGCCGTGCGGGGCCACCTTCGGGCGGGGCTCCAAGAAGGAGGAGCTACTGTGATTCGAGGACCCATGTAGAAGCGCATGGGAGCCGTGGTGATGGAGGTCCAACCATAAGGATCTCCAAATACATCAAGGAGGCGAGAGACTTGGGGTGTAAACCGTTCGATGGGACGGGAGACATCTCAGTTGCCGCGCAGTGGATCAAGAGGCTGAACGAGGCAGCCCTTGACATGCAACTCACCCCCGATTTCAAATTGAGAATCGGGGTGTGGTTACTTGAAGGGTTAGCATCCAAGTGGTGGGATGGAACCAAGGGTAAGTATGGCGGGACGGTTACTTGGGAGGATTTTCGGCAAGAATTCTTTGCCCAATACTACTCCGACTTTGAGGTAAATGCCAAAGTGAGGGAGTACACTCTTTTGACCCAAGGGGGTAACATGACGGTGAAAGAACTTGAGCATAAGTTCAGGGACCTTGCCGACCACATACCGGAGTATGCGTGTGATGAGAACCGAATGGTGAATCACTTTTGGGAGGCCTTGGACTTGGAGATACGTGATAGGGCGACTCAATTGCCCAACATGACTTTCAGCCAAGTGGTTGCCCAGGGGTTGAAGGGAGAAAAACAATGGGAGGAAAGGAAGAAGAGGGACGCCGAGGAGGCAAAGAAGAGGAAATGGGAGAGCCATGGCCCCCAAGGTTCTAATAAGAAAGGGAACCATGGGGGAGGAGGATCATTCAGGGCACCGACACCACCATCTAGGGGAGGCTCAGGCACGGGTGGACAAACCTCGGGCTCGCAAGCCCCAATGATGATTAGATGCAGGAATTGTAACAGGAACCATGGGGGTAAGTGTCGTGACCCTCCTCGGTGCTACCAATGTGGAGACACGGGGCATATTAAACCAAATTGCCCTCAACTTGGTGGGAACCGAGGGGTGGGATCAAGCGGCGCTACCACGGCAAGTAGGAACCGAAGCGGAGCACCCCATGCTAGTATGGGGCAGGGGGGAGCGAGCACAAGCAACGCGCCGTCCGTGAACCAAGGAAGGACTCAAGCTAGAGTCTACGCAATGACCGAGGCCGACGCTCGGGCCAACCCCGACTCCGTTGCAGGTAATCCCTTGTAACGATTGATAAATTACATGTTTTGAGTGCTAAAAGTGATAGCGGGTTTGTACGGGCTCGCCGGGGCCGATACCGGCCGGTTTCCTAGCAAAAAGTTGCAAAAATAAACTGCCCAGGGGTAAACCGGCGCCGGTCGAGGCTTAAACCGGCGCCGGTTCTAACTAAAAACCTCTGTTTTGAGGTTGCCGTGGGTCAACCGGCGCTGGTTTTGGCCCATAACCGGCGCCGGCCAAGGGTCGGGGGGCTTAGCTTATAAAAATTTTTATTTTCCGGGGGACGCCGTAGCAAAACCGGCGCCGGTTTTGCCCATAACCGGCGCCGGTCTAGGGGAAAAGGGGGTCGGAAAAATCACCGTGCTCGTAACCGGGGCCGGTTTTGAAGAAAAACAAGTTTTTGAAGTTGCCGAAGGTAAACCGGCGCCGGTTTTGGCCATAACCGGCGCCGGTCCAGTTTATTTTGCGTGAATCCGGCCACCCCGAAGGCAAACCGGCGCCGGTCTTGCCTAGAACCGGCGCCGGTCCAGTGTATTGTTACCCGAAAAATTTTCGTTAAGCCCCGTTTCGATCCGATACGCGGCCTAGTGTGTCTTACATGACTTATGAATGTAGGAACATTAAAGATCAACGGTAGAAACGCAAGAATTCTCATTGATACCGGGGCACAACGTTCATTCGTGAGTGAAGCGTTTGCCGAAAGTTTAGACGTGCCGTTGATAGTAATGACACAACCCTTGTTGGTCTCTACACCGTTGGGAGACGATGTGGAGAGGAAACACTACTATCCTTCGTGTGAGGTAGAAGTGACGGGTCAACCTTTGACTTGTGACTTCGTACCTCTAAGTATGTTAGAATTCGATGCAATTCTAGGGATGGATTGGCTCGAGAAACATCATGCTCGAGTGGATTGTTATGCCAAGGTTTTGGAACTCGAGGATGCTGAGGGAAACACTCTACGTTTCGAGGGAGATCGGGGAGGATCTCATAGTTGTATAATATCCGTGATGAGGGCACGAAAGATGATGAAGAAGGGATGCCATGCATACCTTGCTTATGTAGTGGATGAAGCAAAGAAGGAGGTTGACATCAACGATGTACGTATCGTGTGCAAATATCCGGATGTCTTTCCCAAAGACTTGCCGGGGCTTCCACCCGACAGAGAGATCGAATTCGTGATTGAAGTGGAGCCGGGAACCAAACCCATTTCGATTCCTCCTTATCGAATGGCACCGGCCGAGCTTCAAGAGTTGAAGGTTCAGCTTCAAGAGCTATTGGACAACGGGTTCATTAGACCCAGTCATTCACCGTGGGGAGCACCCGTACTCTTCGTAAAGAAGAAAGATGGTACACTAAGAATGTGTATAGACTACCGACAGTTGAACAAGGTCACAATCAAGAACAGGTACCCTTTACCGAGGATTGATGACTTGTTTGATCAACTTCGAGGGGCAACAGTATTCTCGAAGATTGATTTAAGGTCGGGGTATCATCAGTTGAAGATAAAGGAGAGTGACATACCTAAGAGTGCATTTCGCACTAGATATGGCCACTACGAGTTTTTGGTGATGTCATTTGGTCTAACCAATGCACCGGCGGCATTCATGGACATGATGAACCGGGTGTTCAGTGAATACTTAGATCAATTTGTGATAGTATTCATTGACGACATTTTGATATACTCCAAGAGTGAAGAGGAGCATGAAGATCATTTGAGTCTTGTACTTGAACGGCTAAGGGAAAAACAACTCTTTGCCAAGTTCTCTAAATGCGAGTTTTGGCTCAAAGAGATTGGATTTCTCGGGCATGTCGTGTCAAGTTCGGGCATTTCGGTGGATAAAGCCAAGATAGAAGCCATTACGAATTGGGAGAGACCCAAAAATGTGAAAGAGATACGTAGTTTCCTTGGCTTAGCGGGCTACTATCGAAAGTTTGTTGAAAAATTTTCCGTATTGGCGTCTCCATTGACAAAACTCACGAAGAAGGGGGCCAAGTTCATATGGGACGACAATTGTGAGAAAGGCTTTCTCGAACTAAAGAAACGGCTTACGGAAGCACCGGTTCTCGCCCTACCCACACAGGGGATAGGGTATGACATATATAGTGATGCTAGCATCCAAGGGCTTGGGTGTGTACTAATGCAAAACGGTCGGGTGATTGCCTATGCTTCTAGGCAATTGAAGAAACACGAGGCGAACTACCCTACCCATGATCTAGAGTTGGGGGCGGTAGTGTTTGCACTAAAGATTTGGAGGCATTACCTCTATGGGGAGACATGTCACATTTTTACTGATCATAAGAGTCTGAAGTACGTATTCACTCAGAAAGAGTTGAATATGAGGAAAAGGAGATGGATGGAGTTGATCAAGGACTATGACTTGATCATCGACTATCATCCCGGAAAGGCCAATGTAGTGGCTGATGCACTGAGCAGGAAAAGTACGTCGGGGACATTACTCACATGTCTATGAACTTTGAGGGCACAAGTGGAGGTGTCCACGAGTGGGGTCCTCATTGCTAGATTCGAGGTTAGACCTACATTGCTGAGTGAGATCAGTAGATGTCAGGCCGTTGATGAAGAATGTCAGAAGATCCGGGAGAGGATCCTTGAAGGGCCCGTGGAGAACTTTCGGGTACGTGATGACGGTCTTTTACTGTTTAAAGACCGTGTATGCATACCAAAGAGTGAGGAGCTCCGAAAGTCCATACTAGAGGAGGCTCATTCTTCGGCATATGCTATGCATCCAGGGGGTACTAAAATGTACCGAGACTTGAAGGAAAGTTACTGGTGGTCGGGTATGAAGAGAGACATCGCAGAGTACGTGAGTCGATGCCTTACTTGCCAACAAGTTAAGGCAGAGCATCAGCACCCGGCGGGGCTTTTGCAGCCACTGACCATTCCAGAATGGAAGTGGGAGCATGTTACCATGGACTTCGTGGTGGGGCTACCACGAACAGTGAACAACTACGACGCAGTATGGGTAGTGGTTGATAGGCTCACCAAGAGTGCACACTTTTTGCCTATCAACATTTCTTATCCTCTTGAAAGATTGGCAAAGCTATACACGGAGGAAATTGTGAGACTACATGGAGTCCCGATATCCATTGTCTCGGATAGGGATCCACGATTCACATCTCGGTTTTGGCCCAAGTTTCAAGCATCTTTGGGTACTAAATTGAAGTTTAGCACAGCTTTTCATCCGCAGACGGATGGACAATCTGAGAGAGTGATACAGATCCTGGAAGATATGCTTAGGGCATGTGCTTTGGAGTTCCAAGGAAGTTGGGACAAGCATTTGGCTCTAGTTGAGTTTGCCTATAACAACAGTTATCAGGCGAGTATTGGCATGCCTCCATACGAGGCATTGTATGGGAGGAAATGCAGGACACCGTTGTGTTGGGACGAGGTTGGCGAGGCCAAGCTCGAAGGAATTGAACTTGTTGAAATCACCAAGGCTAAGGTGAAGGTCATTCAGGATAGACTTAAGGCTGCCCAAGATCGGCAGAAGAGTTATGCCGACAAACGACGCAGGCCATTGGAGTTCGAGGTTGGTGATAAGGTCTTCCTAAGGATTTCTCCTTGGAAGGGCATCATCCGATTTATATCGAGGGGAAAGCTTAACCCCCGATACATTGGTCCATTTGAAATCCTTGAAAGGATAGGGGCTGTGGCATACCGTCTCAAGTTGACGCCGGAACTTGAGAAGATACACGACGTGTTTCATGTATCGATGCTCAAGAAATACGTGAGAGATCCATCTCATATTCTTGAGAAGCCACCGGTGGAGATACGTGAAGATCTACAATATGCGGTGGAACCGGTACAGATTGTGGGTCAACAGGTGAAGAAATTGAGGAACAAGGAGATTCCTATGATAAAGGTTCTTTGGAGGAGTGATCGAGTCGAAGAAGAAACTTGGGAGACTGAGGTCTCAATGAGGGAGCAATACCCGTTTCTTTTCGATTAGACACATGGATTTCGGGGACGAAATCCCAAATTAGGGGGGGTGAACTTGTAACACCGTCCCCAAATGTATTTGCTTTTAAGTGAATATTGTATTTTTAACCTTATTGAAATGGTGAACGAATTTACGATGTCCCGAATTTTTATTAATTCCTTTGCACAAATAGTAAATTCGTACGTGGGGCCCGCACCGGGAGCGGGGGCCGCCTGATATTCCCAGGACCACATGAACTATTCATTTTGGTCTAGATAATGTTTATATGGTGGTGGATAATTCATTTGAGCCATGGAATGGTCCATAGTTGACCGATTGGTCAAAAGAGGCCCAAATACCGGTATTGGCAAATTAACCGATAAATGCCCGAAATTGAATTTCGGGGACTTATAAATTTAAGTTGGGGAATGAATATTCATTATAAGGGTCATGATGATGGAGAACACACAAAATATTTTATTTGAACCGATAAAATAAAATATATTTAAAACAGTCCGAAAAAATACAACTTTCGGGACTGATTGTACACTTTTGGGCAAAAAGGGGTTGACCTCCCACATGGGTGGGGGCCAACCCACGAATGTGGACACATTTTTTCAAGACTTGGGCGGCTGGATGGAGAGGGGAAGGATGGGAGATGTTGGAGTTGAGAGGAAAGGCATCAAAGGTACACATGGGCTCCCATTTCTTTTTGTTTTGTTCACTCATTTGATCAAGACAAAGAAAATCCTCACCCACTCTCTCCCTCATCCCTGCGGCCAGCACCTCCAAGAAAGAGCCAAGCAAATTCTCCATCTTCCTTCTCCATTGTTGAAGGAAGCTCCACAAGAAAGAATCCCAAGGGAAGGAACTAAAGTGCTAAAAGTGTGATAGGATTAAGGTAATGACCTTATCATAACTTTTTCTTAATTTTTTCTTCTACCATATGAGATGTATATCATATGGAGAACCCTTGAGGTTGTTCCACATGCCAATAGTGTGGAATAATGGGTTGGGGAGTAATTCTAAGTCCAAGAACGGACTTAAAAGCCAAACCGACCGGTTCACCGGAAAATAACCTTTTAAGGGTTATGGGTATTGATTAAGGTTTTATGATGTTAAAACCTTGTTAGGAACTTGGTATAGAGTATCTTTGAGCTTCGCCGGAGTTTCGCCGGAGTTGGTCAAAGTTGGCCGGAGTTGGTCAAAGTTCACCGGAATTAGTCCAAGTTCAACCGCGGAGCGTAGAACACGCTTAAGCTCACTTAAGGTGAGGATGACCGACTATATTGCTTATAATCTTTGGGTTAATTTCATAAGATTTCCTAAATGGATATATAGTGTGATTTGCATGGATTATTAATGGTTAATAAAGCCTAAATGAAATTACTATTGATTATAAGTGTAGTTTGCATGATATACAAATTTATTGAATAAATTGTGTATGTCTAAATGTTATGAATATGATGGCATGATAGTAGTATCAACCATAAATCCCATTTGTGATAAGTATACTTTTATTTCATGAGAAGAAGCCATGAAGGAATAAAAGTGATATTTTGATATTGAGGCCAAATTACATATTGAATGAAGAATTTCATTGAAATGAATAAATAGCTAGTATTGAAATATTAGTTGGAATTGTAGTTGAATAATGGATGAATGGATCCTAAGAAATTGAATTGTAAAGAATCGGTGATTATTGAGCTGGGCTCTAGACCGATGTAGATAACGGTGATTATTGAGCTGGGCTCTAGACCGTAGTAGTTATCGGTGATTATTGAGCTGGGCTCTAGACCGATGTAGATAACGGTGATTATTGAGCTGGGCTCTAGACCGTAGTAGTTATCGGTGATTATTGAGCTGGGCTCTAGACCGATGTAGATGACGGTGATTATTGAGCTGGGCTCTAGACCGTAGTAGGTAACGGTGATTATTGAGCTGGGCTCTAGACCGTGATAAGAAATTATGAATTGACACTAAACGAATAAAGTTAACCACGATATAATAACACCCTAGGTTGAGGGTCTTGGAAATTGAAACGTTGATTATATTTAGTATAGTTGTCATTGTACTTGTCAAATGCTTCCAAGTACTGACCTCCCCTTCACGGGGGAGGCCACCTCACAGTTTCAGGTAGAACTTGAAGGTTGCTACCACCGCCCGTTGCTTCGGGAAGATCAAAGGAGGGAGACGTGGTTCGTGCTTCTTCCGTTCCTGTTTTAAAAACATTTAAATTAATGCTCATGGATATTATACTTTTGAATAATTATTTGGGGGCTTGTATGCCCAAGTTTGCCAAGTGTGGCATGAATACTTGTATCAAATGTTTCCGCTGCTTGAATGAATGTTTTACATTATACTTGTTTATGGATGTACTATGTGTGAATGATATCCCAGACGCCTTGTATAGTATGGATGTGTTGGACTGTGGTTGACTATTCGTACTATACGGCGGATTGTTGACGTGTCCGGATAGGTCCGGGGCGTGACACTTCTTATGAAGGAAAATGTAGGGGTGAGATCCGTCCCATTTTTGAAAGAAAATTAGGAACCATTTGAAAAACCGTTAATCTCATATTGATTCAGTCCTAGAAGTTTTTAGAAGAGCCGATATAAGAATGGATAATATTACATCAGTGCAATTTCGGTGCGTCGTCAGTTAACCATTAAGATTTTTTTTACTATTAATTTGTTTAATCGTTAAACCGGTAACACATAAAAATATAATTTCAAATTAATAAATACATAACCATAAATAAGTATACAAAATTTAACAAGCTAAAAATGAAAAGAAAAAAATATTAAAAAAGGAAAGTAGCATTGCACCTATGCTTGTACCACATGTAGTAATTATCGTAACGCTTTTGTAACGCTAAATTTTCTTACTCGTAGAGTTGTATAATATAACAATTGATCATAAAGATATCGAGATTGTTGAGCATTCTTGAAACTTTGAGTTTTCTTTTTCATAAAAATAAATTTAGATTCTTATGCGTCATTTATTCTTGTAGCAATCTGCATTGCTTGATGCAAATTTGGTCCTATAACATACGAGGTATCTTTCCTTGTAACATACGAGGAGTCCGATTAATCACATAAGTGACACTTAAAAGTTAAAACACATTCGTCCCAAAAATCAATGGACAAATTAACATGAAAATGTATTGCACGAGTCACATTGAGAATGTGAGAATGCTTATGTTTCACTCTTGCATTTTGTTGATGAGTTTTCACCATAGTTGTTTGTTGAATAATTACATGCTCACAAAAATATTTTATCAAAATCATAAACTCGTCCCATTATAACTAAGCAAAGTTTTCACTTCTCATCCAAATTGTCTCTTGATTAGAGCAAAAAACCAATAATAAAGAGGACACCTCACTTTTATACTTCATCAAATATACTCAAACACTTCCTGAGTAGTCATCAACAATAGTAAGGAAATAACGAGATTCACAAGAGCGATTGGCCTGATACGGATCCCAAACATCACAATGAATCAAATCAAAAAAGTTGGATGCTCTATTATTATCAAAGGAAAATTCAAACGAGTTTGTTTAGCACGATGACAAACATCACACGACTTCTTATTGAGACTATTTGAATGACCACTAACTTGAGGCAAAGATTCCAAAACTCTTAATGAAGGATGTCCGCGACGAGCATGCCACAATTCACCGACATCTAAATTTGTAGCTTTGTTGATACACACATGTCCCTCCATTGCCAAGTAAAATAGCCCATCATGCTGATCACTCACACAATCTTGGTCCTCGAGGCTCGGTCCTGTATAACACAATCAATATGAGTGAATTGAATACTTAGTCTAGTATCTTGAGCAAAGTTGAAACAGACAATAAATTGCAAGTAAATTCGGGTACAATTGAGTCATTAGTAATTGTCAATTTATTATTCAACTTAATATTCCCAATTTTTGTAGCCTTTATAGAAGAACCATCTAGAAACCTGATTTATGTAGATATCATATCAACTAGATACTCAAACAAACGAGCATTTTCACACACATGATGTGAGGCACCTATGTCAATAACCATAAGTTTTTTGTCTTACCATGCAAACGAAGTTTACTAAAATCAGTAGTTATTTTGTCGGTTTGAACAACGTTTGCCTTTGAGTTCGGGCCAGAAGAATTGTTAGGAGATCCTCCCTCTCATGCATAACTACCTATTGCATTAATGCCAGAGGACCCTCGAGACTAGTTCATACTACGTCGACACTCCGGCCATCCTTCTAGATATCCGTGTCTAGCAAAACATCTATCCTCAGTATGCACTATCTTCGAGCAAAAAGCGCATATCATAGAGTTACCTAGGACTTGTGTAGCCCCCTGATCTATGTCCTTGAGAAATGCTTCCACGAACGGCAAAACTCATGGGATTCATCTCGTCTACCAGACCATTAGTGATAGAACACACTCCCTCTTCTTGGATCAGTCGTGAATAAACGATGTTGAGAGAGGGCAAAGGCTCAACGCCTAATAAACTAGACCTGATGCCGGAATAAAAAGATTTCAGCCCCATCAGAAAATAATGCACTTGATAGGCGTCATGACGCTGCCGGAGCTTTGTAGTTAAATCACAATTGCAACCAGTGCAAAGACAAACAGGAAGAGCATCAAAATCGTTCATGTCATCCCATAGCTTCGTTAGACGTCTGTAGCAACTCATGATTATTTCACCGGTTTTCTGTTTGCAATCAGACAGTTCAGTTCTAACTTAATAGATTTTGACTCTGTTGCCAACTGAAAAATCGTTCTTTTATGTCTTCCCATAGATCACGAGCAACATCACAATACGAAATTGAAGTTCTAAAAGAGGCATCAATTGTATTGAACATCCAGGCTACAATCATTGAATTGATTGTCCACCGATCTTCAATTTTAGGGGAGTTTTCAGCCGTCTGTTCAGAGTGCCATTGATGAACACCAACTTCAGTTTGGCACACAGAGAAACACGAAACCCTTTGGCCCACTTCTCATAGTTATATCCCTTCAGAACAACATGTGTAATTGTTGACGTTTGTTCATTCAATCCGGAGGCCCAACACGTAACCCGAGGATTTCGAGTGGAGACTGTATGAAAATATGAAGTGCGAGCAAGTAAAGATGAGCTTATGTTTCTGTAGCAGTGGTCTGTATTTTATTAAATGATAATAAAGATCCGTAAACAACACAGTGTTACTACCTGGTCTGAGGCCGTTCGTCTATCTCGCTAAGTAAGAGCTGAGAATACAGCTAGAATGCTAGAATGCTGGGGAGAATAAGTTGTCAATCCTTTACAATGAAATAAATGCTACTATTTATATTACCAAGGGTAGGTAGATGCGCTGACGTGGATGGTTGTGGATGGCTAGGGTCTCAACCACCAAATCTTTGGCATTAAATGTACATCCCGTCAATATCTTGGTTTCCCGCCAAGATATGTAGATGATCGTCTTCAGCACGCTGGGTTCTCTGATTTCCTGGAGCAAGGGTTTAACTCTGAGCGTCCCATGCATGCCTTTTGGTTGTAGATGCTGGAGTGCATTCGGTGGCTTGGATGGCTAAGGCCCCAAAGGTCGAACGTCCTCTGGTGGGGTGTGGAGTCTAAAGATGATCGTCTTGGATTCCTACCTTGTTGGGCCTCGATTGTTCTTCATCACAGGGGGTGGTGGGCCGACCCCTGGTTGGGCCATTACCCAACAGTAATTATTGTCCCTGGATTATCACTTGAATTGAGAACATAGATCAATTTTGGAGAAGATGAAGGCGTTCCTCCGATCATGGAGACAATCGGCAATTTCCACAATTAGTAATTGACCTATGCTTTGGTATACATATGATGTTCCATAAATAGCTCCTGAATAATAGCTAACAAATATGAGCCATGCTTGGTGTACCCCAAATTTGTACACCAAGTGTACACTGCCTGTGTACACATGCTGACAGTAAATTGTGCCCTTTTTCAAACGAATTGTCTCTATACACAGGCAACTAGAGGAGTGGTGGTGTACAAAATGGGGTACAAATTGGGACACCTATAGCATTTGTGAACAGATATGGAGCTAATATACAATTTATGCTAATAGGTTTGCTACACGTATATATAGACTTATAGGGTCACGACTTAGGATGTTGCGGATGCAAGGGTATTAAGGTGGCTAGCGGATTTAGGAGTGTTTGAAATTGATCGTACTTCTACCTGTTTTTTTTTTAACAAAGTAGAAATGTAATTAAAATTATTTTTTTAGAAGTTAATTTTTCCTATCGAGTTTTTAATATATGCTTCTACCACTTGAAAGAGCAGATACAATTTTAAATATAAATCAAGACACCCTTAATTCTTTAGGGGAAATTTTCCTAAATGGGACTAAGCAAAAGGATAATTACAACAATAGGATTTAAAATTTAAATTCCCAAAATAGGACTAAGTCTTTCTATACTGCCATTTCCCTTGTCCTTCCTAATAGGATTTTTTTAAATAATTATTATAAAACATAAAAAATTAAAATAAAAAAAAATCATAAAAAATAAATAAAAAATAAATAAAAAATGAAAAATAAATAGACCTCAACCACCACCTCAACCACCTTCCATCACCGCCACCTCTGGTCACCGGAAAACATTTCCAAGTTGGGAAAAATGTCATCATGATGGTAATTTTGAAAAGAAGGCTGAATTTTTTTAAAGAGTAAAAATGTCATCTTTATGGCATTTTTCAGAGAAATGTGGCATTTTTTTTACACAAGATGGCACTTTTTCCCGGCGATCGGAGGTGGTGGTGTCCTATATAGTTTTTAATATTTTTTAAGGTATTTATATTTTTTTTATTATAGATTTTTAAGTTTTTACTCCCTCCGTCCCCGAAACAATTTCCCGGTTTGACCTACACACATATTAAGGAAATAAACTTACTGGGGGTAAATTTTACTTTTTCGACACTGTTTGACACTGTTTTACACTGTTTTGATGTAGATAAATTGTCATTTAAGGAAATGGGAAGTTAAATTAGGGCATTCAAATAAGGAAAGTGGGAAGTTGTTTCAGGGACGAAGGGAAATTTTTTATTTTATTTTTTTTTCCCGATTTTTTTTATTAATTTATAATTTTTTATGATTTTTTATGTTTTTATTATAAATAAAATTATTGTTTTAGTTATTAAGAAACAAATCTATTAGAAATTATAGCTTGGGATAGAATATGAAGAAGAGACATATATTACTCCTATTTTGAGAACAAAAGTATACTGCTAATGTGAAATGTCGGGTTACTTTTACTCTTGTTTGGCTAATACCGGATTCTTTAGATGAACAAAAATGCTATTGCTACCTCATTTTCTACCCCATTTTGTACCCACCCCTATGTT